CCTGTGTTCTGCACCTGCCTGTCTGGGCAGCAGCTGAGGAAATCCTTAAAAAAAGACTTTCCTTGCACATGGGAATGAATCACAATGGAGCAAGCTCCCCCACGTCCCCACCCATGCCCAGGAGGATATCTGGCAAAGTGAAGAAGAATCTTAAATGCAGAGTTCCCCAAAGACACAAAGATGAACAGTTCTTGAGAAATCCAGATATTGTTAGAAACAGTATGTTAAAGTGTTTTATTATTTAGTTACATCTTGCCTGGGCATGAAAAATATATTAACATACTGTCAGCTTACTGGGACATAACCCAAAACAACTTACATTTTTCATATTGTGCTAATTATTTTTCCGAGGCTGGCTCAGGATGGTAAGAGAGAGATTTCAAGGCTTTCGCCAGATTATTTACTTAAAGAAAGTAAGCTTGCCACTATCTGTTCCCATGGAAACATAGTAAGGAATTCAGGAGACTGAGGAGGTGGTCATTTTGATCATAATTAATATAAAGAATAATAGAATTATATAGAATATTATAAAGAATAGTAGAATCAGTTAAGGGGGCACTGATCACTAGGATCTTTAAACCTCTTCTTTAGCAATGCAGTGTAATCTTGGATCAAATGTCATTGATGATTTTAGCAGTCTGCTAATTTTTGAAATGTAATTGAACTTTTTAGAAAAGTTTTTCCAATGTTGTTATTTTATTTTGACCTGATCAGAAAATTCCAGTAATAGAGTTTTTCTAAGGTCCTGACCAAGTACAAGCGGGTGCCGCCCTGGCCTTGTCCTGTGTCAGCCTCAGCTCCTTGCTTTGAGAGTCTCCATGAGCAGCTGGTTGATGAATGAATCTGTGATGATCCAGAGCACCACTAGGTTCAGCAGTACCTTTAAAATCACCCAAAGAGGCTTTAATTATGTTCATGATATAGTTCACATTTAAAGTGTCTTATTGTATTTTTTTAATTGATAATTGGTAATCCACATGAGGTGACCCTCTGCTACATATTCCATTTATTAAAACAGTGCACTCCTCAGGGATTCTTACCAGAAGACACATGCTGTAGTTTATTTTTAATCTTTATGCTTATTTGAATTGTGGATTTGTGGTATGATCTCTCAGGGGTAAATTTTATCACAGAAGCCTGATTACACATTTTTCAAAACTGTTCAATTTAATCCAGTGTCTCAGAAAAAACTAAAGAGAAAAAAATAAATAAAAGAGTGGGACCTTTCAAGTTTCTGAACTGTGGACACACTGAGAGATTATATTAATTTAGAAATTATTAGGATTTTGCTTCTTTCAGACCTCTGTTTCAAGAAACATAATTTAGCCTCTTCCAGAAAGCCCCACCTGAGGGGTAGATATAGGCCATAGCATGCTGTGAATAATGTTTATAAACAGGTGGCCTGAAATTAAATGGAGTCAATACACAATTTCTCACCCTTTACAAGACAACCACTTTGCTGCCACATGAGTCACCAAAATTTTTTTTGCAAATATCAAGCTTGAAATCATTTAATCAGGAACGTAAATCAGTTATATGCCTCAGTTATAAAAACGCTCATGGGATTGGCTATGGTATTGATTCTGGTTTTTTTTGTGGGGGGGCGGGGATCGGGTGGAGTTACAACTGCTATTTTTCTATATACAGTGATACCACTTTCCTATTGCAGAAATGCAAAGTGCACCCTATCCTACTTGGCAGGAACAATCGTCTCTTGGTTTAGCCAAGAATAAGAACTGTCAGTAGTGTCATCCCACAGGCTTCTGAGAGGCCCTAAAATAATAGATGGGTGCACTTTCCTATATGTATTTATGTTCAGATAATTTATTTAAATAATGTTGCCGGCACATGCTTTATAGCTGCTTGCATTTTGCTACACAGATTTCTGCATATCTTGCAGACTATGCAATTCATTTGGAAAATGTAATTTCCATCCCTGCATACTAATCGATTTCTTCACAAACACCTGCTATCAGTTATGATAATAAAAATGCCACTCTGAATTGAAAAAGGGCCAAATAGAGCTTCCTAAGGAAATGACTTAAGTGTCTTTGAATGCTACTAAATGTAGTAATGTGCTTATGTAGTGCCAACACTTTTTTCATCGTTTGCATTTTCTATAATTTTGCCCTATTACAACATCCCTCTCTCAAATGATGCCTCATAACCATTTTCCTATAAACTGTAAAACTGAGTTGTCAGGGTTGCCATCTCGGGATATGGACATGATCTGAGGTGGAACTGCACGGTGTTAAAATTTACTCTCTCTTGCCTCCTAGGTAGGCCCTAGGTCATTTTTGATTTTATGAATAAGACCCTGAAAACTGTAAAATTGGCTGCTCCTGGATGTTGCACACACATATACATGAACTAAAATTTCCTTTTATTATTTCTCTTCTGCCTCCAGTTTCATTCCACGCACCATTGCCAAACTCATCTTCCTAAATCTCCAACTTCATCATGTCCTTTGCTGCCCAAGCGCCCATGCTGCTTCTCCATCGGCCGCTCCATTGAGCCTACCTCTGCGCCTGCACCCTCTCCCCTCACCTGACATGGCTCTGCTCTCACTTACTTTTCTCACTTTTCCAAACAGACATTTGCCTTCTTGGCCAAGTTCTCGCCTTCCTGTCCCCCAAATAGTCTACCTTCAGTTCTCGTCTCTGGGCTCTTGTTTGTGCTTAGTCTGAATTGAGATGGGCTTCCTCAGTTCTTTCAGTATTCCCATCTACATTTGTCTTTCTCTTCTCTGAACAGTTGAACTTAGTCCAACACTTTGACACCTTGTCTAACACTTTGACACAAAGTTGCTTATTTATTCATTCAACAGACATTTCTGCAGCACCTACTATAGTCCAGGCATAGGCTATTCTTTCACATCTGACAGTTGCTATTGCATTTAAAGCTACTGGAAAGATGAAATATATTCTGTCTCCTCTTTTGTGATCCAAAATGCCCATACAGTCCTGAACACAGAAAACATATGCAATCAATATTTGCTAATTGAGCCCTTCAGGCTAATGGCACATTTTATTTCATAGGTATTACAGCATGTACTATACACAGATTATCATTTTGCAAAATAGAATACCGTAAAACACTCAACTGTATAGCTATTAGTAACTTCATTTGAGGTTCGATATTTGAGGAGAGAATTCACCAGTGTCTCAGAACCCCTCTCAGTAAAGATCCATCATCACTGCCCTGTAATACAGGTGGAACATCTGGGCTGCTGACCTCGCTCTGGCTCTATGAATTGATGGGGGAAGGGGGAGGGGATTGGGAAATTAGTGTAGATCAAGAAGTGTTTCATTTTGTGCTCTTATGGACCTAAAGTTGCATCTCTGATGCAGTTTCTGATGGTCAGTGCAGGGTAAATGAATAATTATCAGGCTTTTCCACCCTCCTGCCATTAGTGTTAATAATGGATCCCTGCAGTCTTAAGTGCATGCCTGATGGCGGACACCTGGAGTAGGGTGTGGGCCTGCATAGTGGGGCACACCTGGGCTGAGACCAGGCTTATAAGGGCGGTGTCACGGAGACACCAGAAGAAGAGAAAAAGTAGCAGTGGTAGAAGCAGCAGAGATAGCAAGAGGCACCACGGGAGAACACCAGAGAACCCAGAAAGAGTGAAGACTCACCAGGGGCTGGGAGGTCTGCCAACCTACTGGCCCCCCGGCATCCCTGCCTGCTGCGTACCTGGTAAAAGTGCAAGAAAAGCCTGAAATGCCTCCAAGGGCTCCAGGACTTTCCTTTACCCATCTGCCCAGATCATAGAGATCCTACTCTGTGCCTTCCTGGCACTATAGTCAGCTTTAATTTTTCTTTCATTTTGAATTTGAGATTAGTTTTGAACAATCTGGTAAAAAGAAGAATTAGCCCAGAGACTAAGAGCAAAAAAAGACTCTGGAAACAGAGGCGTGGTGTGGAGGACTGTGTTATTTATTTGTGAGGTAAAAACATGTTCTCTAACTTCTCTATGTCTCATTTTACTCATCTGGAAAAAGGGAGCGAAGAGCAGCTCCACAGCATAAGTTTGATGGGGGTCAGGGGTGCAGGGGAAGCAGTGAAGTGGGTTAGTTCCCATGAAGCTCTTGGTCCTATTAATGACTATTACGTGGTGAGTGCACAGAAAGCTATTGTTATTGTATTATTATTGGAGAGACCACTGAGCAATAAGCTGGAAACTAGAGAAAGGGGTTCCTGATCCTCAGTTTTGGTGGGTACCACTCACTCTTCCCTTTGCTTCGTTTCAGCTGTTGCTGAAGCCTTGCGGTGTGTGAGGCCCAGGGTTAGCTGTTTGGGTTTCTCAGAGAGTAGAAGGTGTGCGTGAGGTCTGCATCTCCACACACAGATTTTTAGGTTTTAGGAAGGAGAAGCAGAGTAACCACTAAGCCTTGGAAGGAAAAAGAGTTTTAATCTGTTGGTGAAACAGATGGAACTAGGTTACCATTCTGATAGGAGTTAGAGAAAACAATTTGTGCAATTTGTCCCAGCAATAGAGCAGGGAGGAATGGTGTGCATATCAATTCCCCTCTCCTCTGGGATGCTGCCACATGCCTCAACCTGTGGAGCTGCTGATTATCTGAACGAAAGCAGCACTCCAAGGAGCTGAGCTCTTCTGCAGGCAGGGACAGGACAGTAATGGGGTAGAGATGATTGCTGCCTGGAATTCCAAATACCATCCTCACCTAGCAACACATATCAATTTCTGAGAAGGTGACTAGGACTGGGGGGGGAGAGGTCAAGAGATGAGAATTGGAAGGAATTAATCCTATGCCTACAAGAAACATTCATACCTAAGACAGGACAAATAGAAAAGAGAACAATCCCTAAAGAAGCGATAGTCACCAAGTGCAAAATAAAGAGCCCCAGGATGAGGCATTTGGTTTTATTTCCAAGCTGGCATGAGAATTTGGGTGAGAGAGCCCCGTGTCCACAGAAGGCCCCCTCAGTCTGAGCCAGCAGTTAACTCACGTGCACTCATTGTGTCTGTTCTCCAGCCCTGGCGGCTCAGGCCTACGCTCTCAAGGAGGAGAACGACAGTCTCCGCTGGCAGCTGGATGCCTACAGGAATGAGGTGGAGCTGCTGAAACAAGAGAAAGAACAGCTTTTCCGAACAGAAGAAAACCTCACCAAGGACCAGCAGCTCCAGTTCCTGCAGCAAACCATGCAAGGCATGCAGCAGGTACCCGGGCCCAGGTTTTTGTTTTTTTCCTCAAAAGAAGGGATGTGCATCTCAATGGAAGTGAAATGGCAGCCACTTGTCAAGAAGCAGGAAAGGGAAGAAATGACAACCCAAAGTTAAGTTGCTAGGAAAAGAATGTGCTAAGTAACGATAGTGTGTGGAAGGGCATAATCTGGAGAAAAGCCACTCTAAATAAATACAGCCTCGCAGTAGAAAATAAAGGAAGAGAGTCCAGGTGATGGAAAGGTTTGTCTATGAAATTAAGCCTCCTGGAAAAGTGGTCAGAAAATCCTTGCTGATTATGATGCAGTCTTAGAACTTTTAAATGAAAAACATGCCAGCTGTTGTTATAAGAGGACACTGTTGGTAAGTCAGTGTAAAGGTAAACTCAATTGCTGCCACTTCTTCGCCATTGCACATAGGATCTAGCCAGGTTCTAGGAAAAATTAGACATTTAAAAAACATTTCTTGATGGATTGATGAAGCACCGGCATCTGGGGGGATGAGCAACTTTACAACAGGCCAGTTTCTGTGCCTTTGTGGAAGAATGCCACACTTCAGCCTGGCACACTGTAGCTAGAGATGCCTATTCCAGGAAATGGTTAGAAAGAGACAGCTCTGAAGGAAGGCGAAGGGGCACAGACCCTGAGGGGAGGGCGAGACCCAAGCTCTGGGAGCAGAGGAACAGAAACAGATTCCTGTCTGACAACAGCAATTGATACATGATGTGTTTACGGTACTTGGGCGTCTGAGTTATCTTAGAATGATAGAGCATACATTATCATCACACATGGGTATTTTCTTATTATTCCTCTGAATATACAAATCTAATATACAAATGTTATTTAAACAAGGGAAATACAAGTAGGATGGTGAGAATAAATTTCACTGTTTGTAAAAATGATGCAAAATTTTTGTTAAATGTAAAAAAAAATGGGAAGCAATATATGGTCAGTAGGAGGTGCTTTTTTAAATTCCCCATCCATACTGACTGCTCTGTGAGTCCAGGAGTATAAATCGCCTCCAAAAGTGTCTTAATGATTAGAGGTAACTGCTGCAGTAACATTAACCAAGCAGGGAGAAATAATTGGGAGGAAGGGATATAAGAAAGGTACAGGAACTGGGGTATAAACAAGCTAATGACCAATCACAGAAATTGTCTAAATATCTCCTGCCATTTTAAGACAATTTTTTGAAGCTTGGCTCTGAGTCCTGACTGGGGCAGATTCATAGTGTGTGTTAGACAAATCTGGCAGATTCAGAGGTCAGAGCCAGCCAGGAAAATGTCATTACAACCGTTGCTCAGGACCCTGCGCTTGGAAATTGGTGTAACAGCTGCTGTGAGGCTCCCGGGGTTGTCCATGTGCCCCACACTGGGCATGAGCCAATGCCCCATGGAGGCCAGTCTGTCGTTTCTTGCCTCCAGACCTGGGCTGCAGGCTGCTATGCCACACCTCAAGCAAAGGGCCATCTTTTCTTCCAGAAAAGATTACCTAGTTATTTTAAGGGCAAAAAAAGCCTTTACAGGGGTGCAGGATTCAAATCTGAAGTCTGGGGAGGCAAGGGTAAGGTCCATCAAGCAAGGAGAGCTCCATTGGGAATATGGGCCCTGGGGCCCAGCCCTGATCCACCAGGAGCAGCGTCATCAACCACCACCTGCACCACAGCCCTCTCGAAGTAGGTATTTGTCTCTCACATTCGCAGACTCTCCTTGTTAGGAAATGTGTTTTTAGTATAGTTTTGCTGACTGTTTTGAGAGGTGGGGGAGTTGTGGTGTCTGATTTCATTTACACAACAGAAATTGATTCCTCACAATTGTGGAGGCCACAGTACAAGATCAAGGTGCCAGCAGGGTTGGTTCCTCTGTGGGCCGTGTGGGAGAATCTGTTCCACGTGTCTCTAGCTTTGGTGGTTGGCTGATGGCCTCTGCCATTCCTTGACTTGGAGAGGTATCACCCCCTCTCTGCCTTTATCTCCATGTGTTGTGTTCAAAGTCCTATTTGCCATATGGACATAGGACCAAGAGCCCACACCACTCCAGACCTCATCTTAACAAGTCACATCTTCAATGACTCCGTTTCCAAATAAGGTCACATTCTGAGGTACTGGGGCTAAGATTTCAACATGTAAATTTGGAGGTAACACTATTCACTCAATAAGACACACAGTAGATTGTCACAATGCACTTGCTGAATGGAGGAGTGAATGGAAAGAGATACCGATATGGTGGGAAGAACTAGCCTGGGGCTGTTTGGGATTCTTGGATCCTGAGGGGTGAGGCTGGAAGGGTGGGAGCTGGCTGGGTAGCCCCTCCCAGCACAGGAAACACTCGCTCAGCCAGCACTAGCTGCTCTGATTTTAATTTCTCCTTCTTGTTGATTGGCTGCTGGCAGTCTGTGGCAACATGTCTTTAGTATGAGTTTAAAATATGTGTGCTTTTTAAGAGTCAGTTTATACCTTAAAACCATATTGAATGAATTACCACCGCTTGCACATTTGAGTCCCAGGACAAAGAATTCTTCCATGTTTAAAACCTTTAAAACCAGCTCTCAGTTTGCTCACTGTCCACTCTGCACATGAGAAAATGATGATCTCCCTGGAAAGGCAACAGAGAGAGGAACCGTAGGTCCCTATGTCACCGTTTCAGCAGCCATCCATGGGAAGTGATTCCTCTAACAAACAAAATAATTTTTGCAGCCTTTGAACCAGCATACAAAGGTTAGAATTGCCTTCAAGTTTAAATCGAAGAGTTTCTAACTTTCTCTTAATCCCTTAAGGATGTGTTCACTAATGCCACACTGTCTTGCCATGTGTCTGTGAAGAAAACATTTTGGACGGGGTTCCTAAAAATGAAAAACCCTTGGGTGACTTTGTGTGGTGGCTTCTGAGTTACCCCTATATCACATGTGCATCACAGTTTAATATTAGAGGTTTCACACAAAAGGTAATAACATCCTGTAACCATGGTAACACCATAACCTTTACCTGGTCTTAAGCTGTCAGTGAAGTTAACCTGTTTTTGCCATGGTGACTGTGAGGTGGTTGGCTTCCCCTTATATCTTTAGGTATACGGGAACAGAATCTATATACTTCAAATTCTTATTTATCTTCTCTTATTTACCACATTGAATTAGATTTTCTCAGATTTGTGGAGGTAAAATTTACATACAATAAAAATACTCATTTTAGATGTATAGTTCCATGAATTTGACACATGGTCATGTAACTATCCCTACTGCAATCCATATGTGAAATAGTTCTATCATCCTGTACCCCAAATTTCCTATGTCTCTTATTAGTCACCCCCACCCCTCCAACAACCACTGATTTGTTTTCTACTCTTATAGCTTTGCCTTTTTCAAAATGTCATGTAGATGAAATCATGCAGTCTGCAACCTCTGAGTCTGACTTCTTGTACTTACCTTCATGAATTTGAGATTCAACTGTGTTGCTGCATGTATGAGCAGCTCATTCCTTTTCATGCTGAATAGTATTCCATGGTCAGGAAAGCCATGACTTGTTTATCTAGCCACCAGTTAATTGACGTCTGGGTAGTTTTCTGTTTAGGGCAACTATGAACAAATCTGCTGTGAACATTCACTTATAAGCTTTTTGTTTGGATTTCATTTTGCATTTACCTTGCATCAGTGCCTAGGGGTTAGGTTTCTGGGACATTTGGTAAATGCACTTAACTTTTTAAGAAACAGCCAAACTGTCTTCCAAAGTGTCTGTAACATTGTGTCTTTCATGGGACCCCATGAGAATTCCAGTTGTTCTGTGTCCTCTAGTTGGCACTCTGGTCAGGCTATTTTAGCCTGGCTATTTGTCTTTTGTAGCCACCATGATAAGTTCATAGAAGTGTGTCATCACGGTTTTAGCCACACATAAATTTAAACAATATTTACATTTTCTTTCATGAGGACAGGTCAAAATATGTCATATTTTTAAGTAACAATTTAAAAATCAGAATTATTTTTGATGCCTGTGTAAATCATATTGACAGCACTGAAAAATATTCAGATAACAAGATGCCATTATAAGCTGCTGATCATAAATCTTTGTGTGACTAATGATGATTATGTCAAAAGACTCACTCATAAATACTTCGAGCTGATGCTTTTTAATAGTGTTAGCAAATGCCTTAAGTACATCAGTCTTAGGCCAACAGCCTGTGTTGGTGGGCAGATCTCCAATACTTTCAACTTGACATTAGCAACAGGGCTGGTCAACTATTTTAATAATTTCGTCAAAGGGGGATGGAGAAAAAATTGGGGAAAGGAGAACCATTATGACCAACACCATTTTAGAAATTAAGTAACAACTGTTTTTCATTCTGAAAGTTTACATACTCAAAGAGAACATGGGTGTGATTTTCTGTTTGTTTACTATGAACCTCATTTACTTAAATTAATTTTACAAACAGGACAGAAAAATATAATACAATGTCTTTCCCAAAATATTAAGTAACCCCCAGCCATCTTTCCCAAATGTTGGTCAAGAACTGGTCTTTGGTGTACATATGAAGAAATAAATAGAAAAATGTGTTGCAATTAGGACATCTGTGAGGTCCTCTGACCATTTTAGTAAGTTTAGCATGTCTTCTGAAATCTTTATGTAGTTGCATAGTAAGAACTTTTTAAATAGATACCAAAAACATGTGCTCAATTCCTCTCCCAAACTCGTATTAATGAAGCCTGTCTGATGTGTACATGTCAGAATCAAGGTGATCATTGGGTCAGCAGGAGCGAGGCCTCAAGTGTTGATGCTGGTGGCTGCCATGATGAAGGTGGCCGTGGTAGTGAAAGGTGCTGATGGTGCTGATGGCTATAGTTGTGAAAGGTGCTGATGGTGGTAAAGGTGGCTATAGTTCAAGGTGACTGCAGTAGGGATGGTCTGTTTCCATTCATTAGAAAATTTTAGGGAAAGTCAGATAAAACAAGCCTATCCAAAAAAAAAAATTGGAGGATTTTTCAACCATTTCTGAAAGAAAGACAAAAAAA